TATTGATATTGTTAAAGCTGGATGATGAATATAGGTGAATTTATCATGTTTACTCTATTTTTGAATTTTAAAATTTTTTAAATAAATTTAATAAAAAGTGCATTTTCCTTTATCCTGTTGTAGCTAAGAAAGTGATGTCTTATTATAGAGGGTAACCTAAGGCCATGTGAGTTACTAGCATAACTGGGACTAGAACATATTAAATAATCAGATTTTATAAAGGATTGAAGGGAGTTTTGAGAGGTCAAGAGAATTAAGGAGGAAGACTTTGTAAATATGAGTATCCGCTTTTAAAAAGGAAGTGTGGGATTGGATTAAGTAGACAATACACATTTTAATTTGGGGATGTTGGCCAAGAGGAGGTGAGAAGATAGGGTCTTTGTGAGCTTTGGTTTAGTAGGGAGAATTTACAGGAATAGCAATAAAGTTAGCTTGAAGCAAAAAGCACCAATTAGGTTTGGCAAGAGTCTAATAACAGTAATTGGTTGATAAAGATCGTGGTGAATTTTTAAATTTTATTTCAAAAACTAATATATATCAATTCAGAGTTAGGAATAGGGTAAGAAATTTTTATAGCATGAGAGATTTGAACTGTTAGTTTGGGAGGAAAAAAGTCAAACCTTACTCACTAACTTTGTTTTTGCATTACCCATTCAAACTGCGGACTATCATTTCTTAACAAGACTTCAAGATGCCTTTTGTAGTTCAGTTTCCTTTAATTAGATTTTATCTCCTATCAGACCACCTATAGACATTTTAACTTGGTTATTCATCTTTTTTATGTCTAAAACTGACCCCTTTCTGTCAGACTTCTAATCTTCCAACCCTCTTTGAAGTCTCTTTTTCTCTTATAGCCAAATTGTATCCATTGTTTATTTGTAGTCTTTCATAATTTGTGTCCACTATAAAACAGTCATTATTTCATGTCTTCCAGTGGTGGTCTTGTCAAGAAATTTTCCCTTTCCCATTCATCTCGAGTATCAACAGACTGCCTCCCCAAAATGCCCTTGTGTCTTTACTTCTCGGTTCATTCATGTAAAGTGGCTTCTCCCCCATTGCCTATATCAGAGTCCAGATGTTAGTGTGACTCATTTTCAAAATCCTTAATTATAGGCATACCTTGGAAATACTGTGGGTTTGGTTCCAGACCACCACAATAAAACAAATATCGTAACAAAGCAAGTCAAGTGAATTTTTTGGTTTCCCAGTGCATATAAAAATTATGTTTACACTATACTATAGTCTTGATAGTGCAATAACATTATGTCTAAAAAGACAATGAACATACTTTAATTAAAAAATACTTTATTGCTAAAAAATGCTAACCATCATCTGAGCTTTCAATGAGTAGCAATCTTTTTGCTGGTGGAGGGTCTTGCCTCCATGTTGATGGCTGCTGACTGATCAGGATGGTGGTTGCTGAAGGTTGGGTGGCTATGGCAGTTTCTTAAAATAAGACAACAATGAACTTTGCTACATCAACTGACTCTTTCACAAACGATTTCTCTATAGCATGCAGTGCTGTTTGATGGCATCTTACCCACAGGAGAGCTTCTAAATGGGAATCAGTCAGATCCTGCCACTGCTTTCTCAGCTTAGTTTATGTAATATTTTAAATCCTTTATTGTCATTTCAACAATCTTCACAGCATCTTCAGCAGTAGATTCCATCTCAAAAAGACCACTTTTTTTTTGTTCATTCATGAGAAGTAACTCCCATTCATTAAAGTTTTATCAGGAGATTACACAACTCAGTCGTATCTTCAGGCTCCACTTCTAATTCTCTTGCTCTTTCCACCACATCTGCAGTTACTTCCTCCACTGAAGTCCTGAACCCCTCAAAGTCATCCATGAGGGTTGGAATCAGCTCCTTCCTCACTTCTGTTAATGTTGCTCTTTTGACCTCTTCCAATGAATCAAATGCTCTCAAGGTTTTCAGTTTACTTTGCCTGGATCTATCAGAGAAATCACTGTGTATGGCAGCTATAACCTTAAAAAATCTATTTCTTAAATAACAAGACTTGAAAGTCTAAATGACCCCTTGATCCATGGGCTGTCAAATGGATATTGTGTTAGCAGGGATGAAACCAAGATAAATCTCGTTGTACATCTCCATCAGAGCTCCTTGGTGATCGGGTGCATTGTCAGTAAGCAGTAATATTTTGAAAGGAATCTTTTTTTCTGAGCAGTAGGTCTCAACAATGGGCTTAAAATATTCAGTGAATCACGTTGTAAACAGATGTGCTGTCATCCAGCCTTTGTTGTTCCCTTTATAGAGCAAAAACAGTAGATTTAGCATAATTGTTAAGGGCCCTACGATTTTTGGAATCGTAAATGAGCACTGGCTTCAATTTAAAGTCACCAGCTGCATTAGCCTCTAACAAGAGAGTGAGCCTGTCCTTTGAAGCCAGGCATTGACTTCTTCTCTATAGCTATGAAAGTCATAGATGGAATCTTCTTCCAGTATAAGGCTATTGCATCTACATTGAAAATTTGTTATTTAGTGTAGCCACCTTCACTAATTATCTTAGCTGGATCTTCTGGATAACTTGCTGCAGTTTCTATATCAGCACTTGCTGCGTCGCCTTGCACTTGATGTTACGGAGATGGCTTCTCTCCTTAAACCTCATAAACCAACCTCTGCTAGCTTTAGACTTCTCTTCTTCAGCTTCCTCACCTCTCTCAGCCTTCGCAGTATTGGAGAGGTTAGAGCCTTGCTCTGGATTAGGCTTTGGCTCAAGGGAGTGGCGAAACTGGTTTGATCTTCTATGCAGACCGCTAAAACTCTCCTATCAACAGTAAGACAGCTTTGCTTTCTTACCATTCATGCGCTCACTGGAGTAGCACTTTTAATTTCCTTCAAGAACTTAAAATCCTTTGCATTTACAACAGGCTCTGGCCTATCTTGGATTTTGACATGCCTCACTAAGTTTAATCAGTTCTAGCTTTTGATTGACAGTTGAGATATGTACAGCTCTTCCTTTCACTTGAACACTTAGAAGCCATTGTAGGGTTATCATCATCATCATCATCATTATTATTATTAATTAGGGTCATTTCAGTATTGTTGTGTCACAGAAAATAGGGAAGTCCAAGGAGAGGGAAAGAGATGGGGAAACAGTGGAATAGTCAGAATACACACATTTATCAATGAAGTTCACCATCTTACATGGATATGGTTCATAACACCCCAAAACAATTAGAGTAATAACATCGAAGATCACTGGATTGGGTGCCTAGATGGCTCAGTCAGTTGAGCATCCAACTCTTGGATTTCAGCTCAGGTTATGATCTCAGAGTCATGGGATCGAGCCCCAAGTCAGACTCTGTCTCCCTCTGCCCGTCCCCCCATTGGCACGCTCCTGCATGCTCTCTCTCTTATATAAACAAGTAAACCTTTAAAAAAAAAAAATCATTGGACCATGGATTGCCCTAACAAATACAATAGTAATGAAAAGGTTTGAAATATTCTAACAGTTACCAAAATGTGGCACAGAGACATGAAGTGAGCAAATGCTGTTGGAAAAATGGTGCCAATAAATTCGCTCAATGCAAAAAAAAAAAATTCACTCAATGCAGGGTTGCCACAAACTTTAAATTTGTAAAAAACACAGTATCTGCAAAGCGCAATAAAACGGGTATACCTGTATTTAATCCCAATCTGCTTTTATTAATATTTGTTCCACAAAATCTCCAATACAAACTTTTAACTCCCAACTAAATCTGTTCCAGTTAACCTTGTTTAAAATATGCTTTTACTTATCACACTGATACCTGTCTTTACTCATGCCATTCCCTTCACTAGGAGTCCTTTTTCCCTCTTCAAGTCCTGCATATACTACTGTGTATGAAGCCCATCAGACTATGCCTCCCTTATTAACATAGTTCTTTGTACAGTAGTCTACAATACTAACTCTCTGTTGAACTTAGAAACCACTTATTATTTGGCACAGAGTCATGTTTTAATAATGTTTCCTTTTCATAAACCCATGGTTTGTCTAATTGAGTTGCAAAACTTTTCTAGGGAAAATTTTGGTTCTATATGTCATTGAGTCTTCCACAGTCTCAGAGTACTATGCATAATTTAGATGTTCAGTAAATATTTTTATGGATGATTTATGACTGGTGATTGGTCAGTCTCTTGAGGATTCTTTAGAAATAATCTGGTTGCTTTTTTGTTTTTGTTTTCATTTCTGTGGAGTCGATTTATATGGTGCTATCTAAGGGCAGAGATATGAGCTCAGTTGCTCTAGGTGCTACCTTGAGTTTAGAGGAAGCATATAAGGAATTGAGATGACTTTGTTGTGTTATTTTAGGACTTTTTCTATTTAAATACCACATATATAATTTTTTAAAGAGTTTATTTAATAGAGTGAGAGCGTTCACAAACAGAGGGAGGGGCAGAGAGAGAGGGAGAGAGAATCCTAAACAGATGCTGCGCTGAGTGTGGAGCCCGACACAGGGCCTGATCTCACAATCCTGAGATTATGACCTGAGCTGAAATCAAGAGTTGGACACTTAACTGACTGGGTCACCCAGGCACTCCCTACATATCATTTTTTAAAAGGTCATTAATTTAAAACAATTCATATAGCACTTGAATGTGCAAAACATTTAATTATATAGTATTATATGCCTAATGAATATAATACTTGAATGGTTATGTTTGTTCAGCATTCAAATCATGTTTTTAATTAGATTATAATTTTTACTGTATTTGCATGAATCCATTTTACTGTAAAATGGCTCCTTAAACAGAACAGTGACTTGGTTTGCTGTCAGCTGTTGCTAGTTAGAGAGCTTTTCCACTATGTTAGTAGTGAGGATTTGTAATTCAAGCATTTGCACAAGAAAATTGTTCTTCTCAATAAAAAGTTCAAATATGTGTGTTAGAATTGTATTAACTAATCACTTGTTAATCACGTATTATTTTTTAGTAGTGATGAGAGTGTAACAACCAGAAGGTTGTTAACATCAAGCTATTTTTATTTTGTTTTATAGAATAATAATAACCTGGATGCTTGCTGTGCTGTTCTCTCTCAAGAGAGTACAAGGTATCTTTATGGTGAAGGAGACTTGAATTTCTCGGATGACTCTGGAATTTCTGGCCTCCGAAATCACATGACTTCTCTCAACTTGGACTTGCAGTCACAGAATGTTTACCACCATGGAAGAGAAGGAAATAGAATGAATGGAAGCAGGACTCTGACGCACAGCATTAGTGATGGACAACTTCAAGGTGGTCAGTCCAATAATGAACTCTTTCAGCAGGAGCCACAGACAGCACCAGCTCAAGTTCCTCAAGGCTTTAATGTTTTTGGAATGTCTAGTACATCTGGTGCTTCAAATTCAGCACCACATCTTGGATTTCAGTTAGGCAGCAAAGGAACATCTAACCTTTCTCAACAAACTCCCAGATTTAATCCCATTATGGTAACTTTAGCCCCAAATATCCAGACTGGTCGTAATACTCCTACATCTTTGCACATACATGGTGTACCTCCACCTGTACTTAACAGTCCACAGGGAAATTCTATCTATATTAGGCCTTACATTACAACTCCTAGTGGTACAGCTCGACAGACGCAACAGCATTCTGGCTGGGTATCTCAGTTTAATCCTATGAACCCTCAACAAGTCTATCAACCTTCACAACCTGGTCCCTGGACTACTTATCCTGCATCTAATCCTATGTCACATACCTCAGCCCAGCAGCCAAACCAGCAAGGCCACCAGACCTCTCATGTCTACATGCCCATCAGTTCACCTACTACTCCACAGCCACCAACAATTCATTCATCTGGTAGCTCACAGTCTTCTGCCCATAGCCAATATAACATTCAGAATATTTCAACAGGACCTCGAAAAAACCAGATTGAAATCAAACTTGAACCCCCACAAAGAAACAGCTCTTCAAAATTGCGTTCTTCTGGACCTCGAACCTCCAGCAGTTCCTCTTCAGTCAACAGCCAGACCTTAAATAGAAATCAGCCCACTGTTTACATAGCTGCCAGTCCCCCAAATACTGATGAGGTGATGTCCCGTAGTCAACCCAAGGTCTATATTTCAGCTAATGCCGCCCCAGGAGATGAACAGATCATGCGGAATCAGCCCACCCTCTTCATATCCACAAACTCTGGAGCATCTGCTGCCTCCAGGAATATGTCTGGGCAAGTGAGCATGGGTCCTGCCTTTATTCATCACCACCCTCCCAAAAGTCGAGCAATAGGCAATAACTCTGCAACTTCTCCTCGAGTCGTGGTCACTCAACCCAATACAAAATATACTTTCAAAATTACAGTTTCTCCTAATAAACCCCCTGCAGTTTCACCAGGGGTGGTGTCCCCTACCTTTGAACTTACAAATCTTCTAAACCATCCTGATCATTATGTAGAAACAGAGAATATTCAGCACCTCACGGACCCTACTTTAGCACATGTGGATAGAATAAGTGAAGCACGGAAGTTGAGTATGGGATCTGATGATGCTGCCTACACTCAAGGTAATAATCCTGAAGGTGGGGTCACTTTCCATGCTGGGCTTATTGGTGTACATTTGATTTTACTTGTAGAAATGGCTATCAGTATTATTACTTCATCTTTTTTAAGTGTCAAATCATACTACTTTTAAAACCTCAGTATTCATACAAATTGTGAATTTCATTTTTACTATCATATAACTTAAAGTTTGAAGGATAGGGTTATTAGATCTTCAGCATAATCCACCCTGGTATGCTTACTTTCTTAATGTTTTAGCCCTTTCTTTTCAGTTAATTCTCTTCTCTGTGGTGATGTTGACTTGCTCTTTAAAATTTTTGTGAATAAAAATTCATAAAAACACATCTTAGTAAGATATTAGTGGCCTTGTATAGTTGGTAAATCTGCCTTCTTTGACCAGGCGATTTCTCTATTCTTCAAGTATTTTCATTTTTCTAATATAACATTGTAAGTCTTATTTTATATCAAAATCTAACTTCTTACAAGTTCTAGAATAATTTACCTCTAAGAGATTTTGTGTTCTGTTCTCAATATTTGTTTCTTTCAGCCTACCTTAAACATCCGTTAATGCAGCCTTTATCTTTATCTGGAATTGTGGATAAAAACATTAGTCTATCTCATTTGATTATCCTTTTCTGAAATAGACTAGTTGATATCAGCATAATACTAAATTATATCTGTATTAATTCAAGTAGAGATAATTTCTGTCATATATGTTTTATTTGGTCCCTTAAGTTACTTAATCTTCAGTAGGAAACCATTAAACTCCTTCAGATACAAAAGTGGAGGTTAAGTGTTTGTTTTCTTGAATACTGATGCAGGTTTTTAGATTGGCTGGGAGTCCTTTAGAGCAACAACGTATTGTAGTCATCTTTGTATCTGCAGTGAGCTGTCCCAAGTATTGTAGGTTGGAAAATAATAGATTATCACCCCCATGCAACATGCAGCCCCGTACAACCACTAGTACTCTTGTCCTTTTAAAAATTTCTAAAAATAGTGATTTTACTGCTGAGTTTCTCAGAGGAACCTGATTGTTACGTTTTAAACTACTATATTCTTGTGATTCTCAACTCAAGCTGGGCTGTGATGCTCTCAGGTTTCATAAACACCTATGGAGCTTTCAAATAAGGATGCCCAGGGCTCATCCCAAACTTGCTCAGTTAGAATCTGAATGGCGAAGTCTAGGTGTGCATGTGTGTTTTAAAGGTCCATGGGTGATTCTGATTGCACTAGAAATTGTGCTAAAACTGGACCCATTTTTGTTTAGTTTCAGGCAGTACATGAATTTTAATATACCGTTATTTATTTCACTGATATTTAATTCCTATTCTTCTCCCACAGTCCTCTTCTCCTTCTCTCCTTCCATCGAATAGCAGATTTCCTGTATTTAGGTAGTTGCTGTTTCTTAAATGGAGAGTAAATTGTTGTATGAAGATAATTTGATAAAGGGAATTTTCAGTTGAAATAGACATAATCACCTTTAACTGGAGTGTGAATATAAAGTGTTGCTTAAACTTGCTATCTCCAGTTTCTCTCATTCTCTTTTGAATCTAATCCAGTCAGGATTTTATCCACTATAGTCACCCAGAACTGCTCTTGTCAAGGTCATGAGTGACAGCATTGTTACGAAACCCACAGTCTCCTTTCGGCCTTCATCTTCCTTGATGTATGTATCAGCAGCATTTACCAGTCAAGCACCCTCTTCACTGTGAAACATTTTGTTCATTTGACTTCTAAGATATTACTCTAGAATTTCCACCTCTCTTTTTATTCTTAGCTGGTTCTCCCTCCCTCATCTCTTGCCTCTTTATCCTTCCATTTCTCAAAGAAATGAGATCAAAGCCTCAAAGCTTAATCCTTGGGCCTTTTCTCTTTTCTGTCTGTACCATTCCCTAGGTGATCTCATTCAGCCTCATGACTCTAAATATTAGATGCTAATGCCAGAGTGCATGGGTGGCTCAGTTAAGCGTCCCACTCTTGATTTCTGCTCAGGTCATGATCTCAGGATCATGGGATCAAACCCCAGGTCAGGCTCCATGCTCAGTGCAGTCTGCCTAGAGATTCTCTCTCTCCCTCTGCCCCTCCCCACGCACACGCGCGCTCTCTCTCTCTAGATAAATAAAATCTTTAAAAAATAATACAAACAAATGAATATTATGTGCTAATGATTCCCAAATTTGTAACTCTAACCTAGACTTATTCCCCAAATGTCAAGCCAGTTTATTTAACTAGTCATTTAACATCTCCATTTGAATGTTTACTAGGCATCTCAAATTTTCTGTATCTGAAATACCTTCTGACATTCCCCCAGCTTACTCTTCCTATGATCAGTCCTCCCATCTCAGTTAATGACAACTTAATTTTTTTAGTGCTTAGGCCAGATACTTCAGAAACACCCTTGACTCCTCCTTTCTTTCATATTTCACATCTAATTTGACAGTAAAATCTGTCAATTCTAACCTTCAGGGTGTATTAAGAGTTCTCTCTCTTCTTACCACCTGTGGTCACCACTCTGGTCTGACCTACCATCATCTCTCAAGTGGATTATTGCAGTAGCCTACCTGCTTTCACTCTTGCTTCCTTATGGTCTTCTTTCAAATCAGCAGCCAGAGAGACACTGTTAAAAAACAAGTCAGATTATATAATTCCTCTGCATATGGTGGCTGTTTCGTTCAGAGTAAAAGTTGTGAAGCCTTGCATGACCCATTGCCCATCCCTCAGCTCTTTTCCTTCTGCTTACCACTCCTTTCGGCCTTCTTGCTATTTCTTAAACATGGAAGGCAATGCCTTAGGATCTTCGTACTTGCTGTTTTCTCTGTCCGAAATTCTCTTCTCTCAGAATCCACAATTAACTCCCTTCAGATCTTTACTCAAATGTCACCTTCACCTTTTGCATGAGATTATCTCTGGTCTTCTTGTCTTAATCTCCACCCAGCATTTCCTATCTCCATTTTTGCTTATATTTGCTTAGAAAGGGGGGAAATGAATAATCTAATATTAAGACATATAATAACTAATACCTGCTGAAAGCTTACTATGTGCTAGGCAGTTTTCTGAATGCCCATTTATTTCTCACAACCAACTATAATGTAGACACTAGTATTATTCCTATTTTCAGATTAAAATATTTGGGAAGAGGGGCTACCTGGGCGGCTCAGTCAGGTAAGCATCCAACTCTTGATTTCAGCTCAGGTCATGATCTCGGCGTTATGAGATGGAGCCCCACACTGGGCTCCACACTGAGCATGGAGCCCACTTCGGATTCTCTTCTCCCTCTGCCCCTCCCCGTGTGCTCTCTCCCACTCTCTCTCTCTCCCCCTTCTCTAAAAATAAATAAATAAATAAAATACTTATGAACAGACTGGGTAAGCAAGAACCTTGCCAAAGGACAAATAGCAGAGTCAAAGATTCTAACCTAGGAAGTTGCCAATGGAGCCCACACTCTTAACCACAGCACTGTAACATCTTTCTACATTTGCAAAATAAGCCCTCTGGAAGGATGCTTTAAGTTTGTCTTGTAGCTTCACATAACCCCTGGTACATCATTGTGGGGGCCACATGTTCCCCAGTTTAAGAAGTGTGGAGCTAAAAGATCACTCGATAAAAAGTAAAACAAGAACAGGCAGCTATAGGGAAAGAAATCACAACATACAGATATAATTAGGAAAACAACTTGAAAAATAAAGTAATACCCTGGAGTGGTATGGGGAGCACCTTCCAAAGCACCTAAAAGTGGAAAAAAAAAAAATGCTGATGAGTGAAGGCTCTGGTTTGAGAGCTCAAAGCCTACCCACATAGCAAATAGCAGGGTTCCTCAGAATCTACCACTCAAATTACTTCTCTTCACTAACAGCCTTCAGACAGTTTAAACAACTACACTCACTTTCTCTAAAACATATCTACATACCTGTGGAATTTCATAACTTTCATGTGGCTGTGCATCCTTGTATTATCTCTCTGCATGCACTCTGTATTGGGGGAGGTACTGTTCTGCAGCCTTTCATCTTGTTTCCTTCTGTTTCATATGGAACTGCTGTTGTTGACCCAGATTTATGCATATCCAGTGACAAAGTCTTGATTGAGTGTTTCTTTGACTTGGTTCTATTAAGATCAAAGGATTGTTCTTTTCTGAAAATGCATCTTTTATGATGTTACCTTACATGTGTGTGATGCTCTACAGTTTATATAGCACTCACTACCATACTTCATGCGGCAACCCAAATAATACTGATCTTTAAGCAAGCATCTTTTCTCAACTCTGATTTGTCTGGTGTGGGTAATAAAGAGAAAAGAAAACTCTGCCTCCTGCAGTGAAATTGATCTTTCTAAAGCTCCTGGAACATACTGTTTCCGAGTAGGAAAAGAAACTGAGCCAGGTATAGAGTCATAGGAAAATATTTTTCTCAAACTGAGGAGGGAACATACATAAATAAATTTGGTAAACAAAATGCATTATTTTTCATTTATATTTCATCTAACATTTAAAATCTACAATAAAACATTTCAAAAATGAGTATTTATGTTTATAAAAGATACATTGTTGGATATGCCCTCTGCTATAGAATGAGCAGAGGAAAAAGAGGTAAATTAATGAAACTTCTACCACTCTCCTGCTCATTTCGTCACCACGTCTCCCACCACCACTGTGAAAGGAAATAAATTACATTTGAGTCTTTAAACTACCACAGGAATCAGAGACACCAATGAGTGCCCAATAGAAAAGACAAATTCAGGTTAGAGAGAAATTCCATTTCATAGTCTATGGATATGAGGAAGACTCTAATTTTACCTGCTAAGAAGAACAAATATTGAAGCGAAAATTGCTCAGCAGTAGTAAGGTTATTACTGTGTGGCCAAATAGCTACATTTCCCCCTGCCTTGAGTCATACTAGCTGACTCTACCTAACTTCTGAAAGTACCAGTAAATACCTGATCATTCACTGTATTCTGAGACTCTCTGGTGTTTTCTGTTCATAGAAGTATGCTTTTAGTAACACTGGCAATT